TTTTTTTATATTATAAAAGATATAAATATTTTTTATTTTTATTTTATTATTCATTTTTTATTTTAATTATTTATTTTATTGTCATTTAAGTCTCATTATTTTTATTTTTTAAAAAATAATATAAATAAAAATAAAAATTATTCATAAATTTTTAATCTAAACATAAAATTAAAAAGTATTTATTATTTTAAGGTAAAAAAAGTAATTAATGAAAGAAATTTTTTTAATATTAAAAAACTTACTCTTCATTAATAATTATATGATGTGTTGTCACATATTACATATCATTTATTCACTTTTTTTTGTAAACAACTTGTCAATTCATTTATCTAATTTTTTATTTAAAGTGTTTAAATTTAGTTATTTATTTTTTTAAACATCATTTAATACTTTTATTTTTATTTTATACTTGTTTTAAAAGATAATTATAACATATATTAAATAAAAAATCTTATTTGAGTTGTGCTTAATTAGGAATAAATATGAAATTTTATTAATAAATTTTATATCACTATTTTATTAAACAAAAAAAATTAAATTTAGTAAAAATGAACAAATATAGTACTTTATAAGATTTTTCTAGTTTGTATCCTAAAGCACATATAAGTGTATCATTTTTTTAATTAATTTATATTACAAATGCAAAAATTAAAGTTTATTTTAATACGATTGTCACAAAAATAATTTTAATTACCTAATTAATTCAAGGTAATATTTATATCTTCTATATCTTAATAACACATTTAAAAAACAGTACCTTATATTTCAACCACATATTTCCATAAACTAAAATGTTACGCAATGAAATATTAATAAATGAGTTTTTTTAATTTACATCCTTAAACATAAATTAAAGTACATTTATGTTATTTTTTTATAATACTCTTATATAAAAAATTATTTCATAATTTTTTAACACAAATATTATATAAAATAATTGATAAAATTAAAATTAATTACTAATTTCTTTATAATTAATGACAACGAAAATATAACAAATGTATTGTAAAAGCACTTAGATAAAAAATTTCCTTTTTTGGTAGCAGATAAAAAATTTCTTAATAAATAAAATTTGTGCATAGGATTGCGATAAAAAAAGAAAAGAAAAGAAGATTCGTACACAGAGTTGATTAGACCTAGATACACAGAAGCATGGTTCTGTTTTGTCAAAGGACCTCCTGACATTTAAAAAAAAAAGAAAAAGAAAAAAAAAAGAAGGACCCCCTGACATTGCATTTAATTCTCTGTGTTTGGTTGGTGTAAGACTATCCAGAAAGTTTTGACATAAGAAGCTAATTGGAAACTGTTTGCCCCTAAAAATCTGATATTAAGCAGTGCTAGGGGCACTCGGCTCCTGCACTCTTTAGCCAACACATGCTTTTTATTGGGCCACGTAGGCTTACTTTAGGCTATGAAATGATCATCTCTCTGACCAAAATAACGTGGCCCAATGAAAATGAAAGTGTTCGTTGGAGAGTGAAATTGGCGAGTATCCCTAGCATTCCTCTCTGATATAATGTCAAAGAAATAATATTGTATTATCTTTTAGGTTGTTTTCGAAAATATATATTTATATTCTATGTGTGTATTTGAAATCTATTATTTAAAATATATAAATTTTAAATATATTTATTTTCAAATATATTATTTGAATTAATTTTTAAAAATTAAATTTTAAAGAAATGTATATTTACATACGTTATTTAGATTTATTAAAATGTAACATATTTAAAATTAAATTTTTTGTTAAATTAAACCTTCTTTTAATTATTTTGATAAAATACAATAATTTAGAATTGAAATTCATGGATTAAAGGATATATGTGAAATATATATAATTTTATTTTTAAAATATAAGATTTTAAATACATGTATTTAGGCAAAATTCAAATGCATTACATTTAAGTAAAAATAAATAATATATTTAAATTTAAAACTCTAAATTCAAATACATACGGATCAAATTTAAGTTTCTAAACATGTCATTGTAAAATTTAATTGTCACAGTTTAACATCACTAATTAGTCGAAAGGTTATGAAGTTGAGATTGGAGACGTGGATTTGAGTTAGTGAGGAAGTTGATGTGGATATATGGACTGGCGGAATTTTTATTTTTATTTTTTATTTTTTATTTTTCCGTAGGAGGTGTGGGAAAGAAGATGAGATGGAGGGTTTTTATTTTCTTGCTGGCAGCTTGTTATATATGGGTATGATTAGAGCAGCTTTAAGGTTTTCAGGAATGGGGATGAGTATGAAGGTAAATTTTGGACTGTTATAAGGAAAACATTTGTATGGCTACCAAGAATGGCCCCCTTATCCTTTTGATTGTGCAGAGGCGATTGTCTAGAGTACGTTTGACGGAGGGACCTTTAGATATTTAGTTTTTAATGAAAATTAGAGATTTTATTAAAATTAAAGTTTAAATTATATCGAAATCTTTGTATTAAGGTAATTATAATTTAAATTAAAACATAATTTATTGTATTAGATGTTGATTTAAAATTATACCTATGACTGATGTAGATGATGAAATATAGAAAGCCATTTGCACTTAATAATTGCTTAAAAAATCGTTATGTGAGCATAAATAATATTACTGAATTAGAAAGAGAGTGACCATAAGTATTGTGAGTTAGTGAACATTTACACTTGTTTAGTCAATTTTTTGGGTAGGACAGGGTTTTTTGACAAATAATAGTCCCCATCCTGCTAAGTGTTGTCCTATCAAACAATTTGCCTCAACCTGTAAGTGGGACGTGGTTTTCACCCATGCAGATCAAAGCTACTTCTGAAATGACAAAATTGTTCCTCCTTTTATCATAGTCCAAAACCCCCTTCAGATTGCTGGATATCAAAATCAAGAAAAAAGCAGTCCCTCGTAATTCCTCCATTATCCACCAAATATTTAATAAGAACAAGTTTTTATTTCACCTTACATCCACGGTGCAAACCCAATGTAAGTTCCCAACCTCCAACCAAGCAGGAAATGCCGATAATCTTCCTACTAATCAATGCCCTTCTGCTTGATCAAGGCCTAGTGGAAATCGATGACCATAAACCTAGATTATCCCAAACCCACCGGTAGCTAACGCAAATTGCGCGCAGCCCGTGGGTTTATCCCTCGAAAAGACAAAAATCATTCGCAACTCTTTCAATAGACTAATTAGAATTCGTTGAAATGATTGCCACTAACCCAAGCCATTGTTCGAATTTTTCAATCGCAACATCTTTAGTCCTTAAACCCACAATTCCATCTAGCAACAAATTTGTATGCCCTAAGATCTACTTGCGATTAATCTATGACTCTTTGAGTTGAACAAAATTGGGAAGAATAGACAAAGAAGAGAATAAGAAAGGCTTTACAAGAGAAGATGAGACCTAAAAGGAGTGGCTTGCCACATGGTTAAGGTTTTCCCTACATTGTCCAAGAGTTATAGTAATAATTAATTAGATAATTATTTTGGTTGTGCATTCCAAACTAGTTTCTGTGTTGATTTTTGTTTTAATTGTTGCTTAGGATTTGTGATTTTTTGGGTTGAGGTATCTCTTATACTTTCTATTAATATACAATATTCTATTTGATTCATCAATAAACAAAGTAATCTTTGTTGTCTAGTGCCATTAAGGTTACGGTTTTGTGAGTGAGCCCGCATACAGCAATAAGTCCTTAAATGCTTGGGTTTCTCCTTTCATCTTTTCATTAGCCTCATGTATTTCTCTCTTTCGCTTTTGTGTATTGTTCTGCTTTCTTGGGATATTGTTTTCCCTTGCATCAAGTCTCGATGACAATTGGAGTCTGGGGCGTAAAGTGGTGAATTTACAGCTTAGGGATGATATTGTTTTCCCCTTCATTAACTATGCTGCCATTGGCAACAAGGTGTGCACAGCTCAATGTTTATACAAATGTGCCCAAAGGATCTCAAAGTACGTCATCTATGTCAACTAGAATCTTGGAGACACAAAAAGCTTGTATAAGCTACATCATGAAAAGAACCTATGAACTTAGTGTGCCCTTACCTTTCAACTCTTGGTAGCTACTTACGAGGGTGTTACATCGACATAATAGTTCATTTTATTGATATAATTTAAAATTATGTTTCATAAATTAAGTCTGGGGGGCTATGCCTATTTAATACCTGTTCTCAATGGTGTTGATATTCGAAACCACTTCGAGGGCAAATGATGCTAACTAAATACTTACCTTATATATGGTGACTTTCACTAGTCAACCTCAACTTGATAAAATGGTTAGCCCTACCTAGACAACCCTTTATACATAGTTGAGTAAAGCCCTTGTTGGAATACTTGAAAGAGTTGTCTTCAAACTTAACTTATGAGTACAAAGCTAAGAGAGCTTCTTGTTAAATAGTTTGAAATTGTTGGAATTTGTGTATATCCCATATCTAGGAAGAATAGAAAAATGAATGGATTTATATATATTAACCCATTGTTCAATTATAAATAAGTAAGGTTAGACTCAAGGTTTGTGGGTTTTGGGTTTTGTGTTTAAGATTTGCCCATTTATATTTTCATTTAGAATGGGTACTTGGGCCTTGACTTGCCAAAAATCAATTTTTTTTTAATTTTGAATTTTGAATTTAATTTTGATATTCAAAATTGAAGGGATATGTCTAAAATTTGACATGATTTCTAAAAGCTAATAGGTACCTTTCAAAATGGTTTCTTCCTAAAATGAACACTACCTTGCCCAATTGGTGTCTATTCAATCGATATAAATTCCTTTACAAAGTTCAAGTTTTACATATAATTTTGAAAGAGTTTCTAAGTTCTGTTGTATTCTAAACGATTTTTGAATCCTTAAGGAAAGTCAAATCACATCTAAAAACTTTTTTATTCTTTTATTGTCTTTCTTTTTTTTTTCTAAGACCTCACAAATGGAGTCTTGGCAATTGGGCAAGCTAGTAATCTATGAACCTTGCTTGATGTCCTAAGGTGGAATAAAGACAAAGGATAAAAGATAGAAGGTCCCACTATACACCCATCTACACGAACTTATGGGTGCACCTCTCATTTGTGTCAAACATTAAAAGTTGTTAGGCTAATGTTCTTCTGTCTGTTATCCACATGTCCCCACCACATAAGTTGCCAAACTTGATATTTGTACTTACCCTGTAGGTATGGCACTTATGATGTACGAGATATGGTAGGTTTGCCCATTACAAGATAAGCACAAAAGGCACTATAAAAGGAGCTTTTCCACCTCACCCAAAGGTAATGATAAATCCTTTAGAAAACTCATATTTTCCTTAAATTGATTCCTTCCAACCCTAAGAATCGATTTGACTTAAGTATCAAAGACATACATCAAAGAAATCTCTTATCCATGTCCTAGAGAATTTTTGTTCTCTTCACACGCAAGTAACCTAGATGTTGGAAGCTCCATTAGCTCTACCCAATTTACCCCTAAGTAGTAAATTCACAATTATCAATTAACATGATCTTTATCAATGTAGAGCACGATGCTAGGTCGTTTTCACCCATGTGGAATAGGACTTTCACCTACGTGAATCCACAATGCACAAGTAGTGGAAACATCTCATTGTCTTACATTATCTATCTTTCTTTTATTTTGTCTTCTACTTGTTTCTTTTTGTATTTTACAAGAAGGAAAAACATGCAAATTAGCTCCTTAACTCGTCGTGTGGTGGTAGATCACCCCCTCAACTTAGTTCATGCGCAAACCAACCCCTCAACTTGCATGCAATGGCAAATCAGCCCCTCTATTAAGCCTGACATCATTAATTCATTAAGTTTTAACATTCCGCTCATCAGCCCCTCCTCTACGTTTGACCTAGAATGTTTTTGTTGAGATGGATGCTTGGTTGGATGCTTTGTTGGACTCTTGTGGCTAATGTTTTAATTTACTTTTATGCCCTTTTTGTTTGGTCAAATAAAATTTGGAACTTTGTTCAGGTTGCAACCTTCTATTGCCATCTTCTTCCTCCTCTTCTTTTTGCTAAAAGTTTGAGTTTGGTCAAATATAATTTGGGATTTAGGGTCTTGTTCAGGTTGTAGCCTTTTATTATTGTCTTCTTCCTTTTTTTTCCTCTTGTCAAAAATTTGAGTTTTGGTCAAATCTAATTGGGGATTTAGGGTTTTTTCAAGTTGTAGCCGTTTATAATTGGGGATTTGCATGTTTTGCCATGGAGGGTTCTTTTGTGGCACAGGCAATAGGATTCATTTGCGATTGATGATGAATTTTAGGGGCTTACCTCATCCACCAGTTGTGGGGAACTACATAATGGGTCTGAGAATTGGGTCGGGTTTGTTTACGATTGTGTAGAAGTCCAATAACTGACATTTATTATTGTCTTCTTCCTCTTCTTCTTCTTGGTAAAAATTTGAAGTTTTTATGGTGGTGCATTGCAATCTCTTGCATCGATGGAAAGGGAGCATTAGCAACTAGATGATCAGCCGTCGCCTACTAGGACTACGGGATCTTTAGGTCTTGCACCACATCCTTCGGCACAATAGCAGGTTGTGGCCATGCAACTGTAGCAGCAGATTTCAGTAGTGGGATCGAGATGTGCACCTATGTATTTTGTGGTTAATGCCATAATAGAGAAAAAGGAGTCCACAACCGAGGTTTGGCCACACGCTAACGGTTGTGGCAATTGTAAAAGAGGAAGGCACGCTGGGTTTCATTGGACCTAGGTTGATTTTGTTTAGCGGTGCCACTACGCCTGAGGGCAAGTTCTTGCTTTATATATATATATATATATTATATTTTTCCTTCAATTTAGTTATTGCTTTCATTTGATAGCTGAATTTTTTGGTTAATGGAGAATAGTCATTTTAAATGGTGAAGTTTTTAATTTTGTGTGGTTGTGTGAAAAACCCTAGATTTATGGTGGCCTTGTAATTTACAACCATTTCATAATGAAGAGTTGCTTGGTGATAATTTGTCTAACAAAGCCTCCAACAAAGCATCAATCTCAGCAAGTTCTTGCTTTCTATATATTTTTTTTCCTTCAATTTAGTTATTGCTTTCATTTGATAGGTGAATTTTTTGGTTGATGGAGAATAGTCATTTTAAATGGTGAAGTTTTTAATTTTGTCTGACTGTGTGAAAAACCCTAGATTTATGGTGGCCTAGTAATTTACAACCATTTCATAATGAAGAGTTGCTTGGTGATAATTTGTCTAACAAAGCCTCCAACAAAGCATCAATCTCAGCAAAAACAATCCAAGTTAGACATAGAGGAGTGGAACATTAAAACTCAATGGATTGATAATGTCAAGCTTAATAAAGGGGTTGATTTGCCACCGCATGTGAGTTGAAGGATTGGTTTGCGGGTGAACTGAGTTGAAGGGGTGATTTGCCACCACACGACTAGTTGAGGGGCTCATCTTCATGTTTTGCCTTACAAGAAAATAATAATTCCTTATAACAAAATTTTAAACTTGGAAAGAAAAGCGTTTACAGGCCAAACGGACCCTCTGCCTCGCTTCATGATATCTTGCTCATAAAAGGATCAATAGCAATCACAAGTTGGACAACAAAGAAATTAAGAGATATAAACACGTAATACTATTGGTTTTTTAAAATAAGGAAACATATAGTACTGCTTGCTTTTGATTCACTAAGCGTGTAAATGTAGTCTTATGTCTTGCACTTCAATGTAGTATTAGAATTCATAAGTTGGATAATATGAGGCAAGTCCCTCTCGTTTCTTAACTCATTGTACTAACATGTATAAACTCAAATCTAGAGTCTTTTACTTTCATTAAAAATTAGTTATTACTATTAGTGGGTTAAAAGCACTAAGTCACCTGTCATTTCCTTCTGGTTTGATCAAACAATAATAAAACTATAATGATATTAGCCCTCTATAATTGCTTCTGGGCAATACTCCCTTACACTTACAATGAATTTTACAAAATAACTATTGAGATATATTAGGGTAACGAAACTAGCATACTTGGCTTGTAAGCCCTTAACTCATACAAAAATCTAATTTTAAACCATAACCAACTAAGCAAAACCTAATCCTAAACAAGTGTGGTTATAGCCACCAATGAAATTATTTAGCCCACCAAAACAGTGTTAAAAAAATGCTAATTCTGTTTAATTTAATTGTTAAAATTAACACATCTAATAATGTATAGATAACTAATATTTGTTACTTTATAAATTAAAATTAGTTTAAAACTGATTTTTTCAAACAACATAACTATCTATTTAAGAAAAAAATGCAAATATTAGTCCAATTATATATGAATTTGGTGACCTTAACAATTCTATTGATAGCCACCACACCCCTAGACAACACCCAAAAAAATAAAAAAATAAAAAAAAAAGCTATTAGTCCTAATCTAACTAAATAATAACCAGTGAGAAATTATCAAAGGCAAATTGCACTTAACCCCTAAATTACAAAAATGTGGTTTTTTTTTTT